TGTGTAGACATTACCTGGAGGCTCAATAACAAAATCACCCAATAGTTGGAGCATTCCTTGTGGTCTCCCTTGTTGAATACGGGTACAATAACTCCCGTTCTCCAGTCTGATGGTGCCTTTCTCGTAGTCTGCGCAGTTTGACAAGTAAGTATGAGCCATGGCATGCCTTGGTCGTCTAATGCCTTGAACATTTCATGGCGAATCTCATCAGTTCCAGCAGCCTTTCCGTTTTTACGCAGCGTGTGTAGTTTAATCTACAGAGATAGTGATAACTGTTCCCTGCTGCTCTACAGGCGAATCTTGCTGCGGTTGCGCGTGGTTAAATAGTTTCTCAAAGTCCTCCCTCCATCGTCGAAGAACGTCCTCATCCTTGATAAGAGGGTGTCCAGACCTGTCCTTCAAGACTCTGAGACTACCTTTCTTGAGCCAGCGGATGGTCTGCCAGAATGCTTTCTTTGCCGTATGGAAATTCGACTACAAAACATCACCGATCTTCTCCCAGGAATTAGCTTTGGATTTCGCCACTGCTTTCGCTGCCGTCTTGCGTGCCTCGACATATCGCACGCGAGTAGAAGGCTTTATGTTTCCAGGTCATTTGTTGAACGCTGCTTTCTTTTCTTTAACTGCCAGTTGTACCTCTCCTGTCCACCAGAAAGATCTTTTCTGACCTCCAGATGGCATGCCAACCCGTTTAATTCCGCAGTATTCTGTCGCTCTTGATGTGCTGCCACTCGGTTTTCACACCAGTTGTCATCACTGAGATATGTTCAAACTGTCGTGTCGCAAATTTCACTCTCGTGTCCACCGAATATAATGTTTCCCATTTGATTTTCTGGCTGCTTCTGCCACCATACCTTAGTATGGTTCCCCTTTTCTCACGGCGTAGCGTGGCAACAACAAGGTGATGATCGGTTGATAACTCTGCGCCTCTCTTGACGCGAATATCCATTACTGCGCGTCTTAAGTCAGACGATACGATTATCAAATCGATCATTGACTTCTGTGCAGAAGCTTCCCGGTGCCAGGTGTACTCTCACTCTTCGATGCTCGAAGTAGGTGTTCGTAATGGACAATCCGTTATTTGCACAAAACCGCAACAACTTCATGCCATTATTGTTGAGGTCGCTAGGGCCGTTTATTCTAATCACGCGTTCCACTTTTCAGCGTCTACTCCGGCATGAGCATTAAAAATCAGCCATCAGTATGAGGGACTCTGTATTCGGCACTTCGGACAGAGCACACTACACTTCCTCAAAGAAAGTATCATATTCTTCCTCCAAATTGGGCGCATAGACCTGTAACAAGGTCAACACTTTAGCCTCTTGTGGCTTCAGTCAGAGGATTGCCACCCTTCCGCTGACAGACGTAATTCTGTCGGCGAGGTTGGGTTGTATCAGGAAACCAACACCTGCCTGAGCGCGAGTCGTGATATCGACGCTTGAGGAGAATTGCTTCCATCCTTTGAGGTTCAGGAGTCCGAAGCCTTGGCGTTTCGTTGACGAAAGACCAACAATATCGAGTTTGTGCTTTATGGCCTGATCAACTAATTGTTGTTCTTTTCCTCTGAATGAGGATATGTTCGAATTTCCGACTTTTAGCTCCCATTGGTGGTGTCGTTCTGGTGAATCCTTTCCTGACGCGCTATAATGACATCGCGCTGTCTGCCTCTTCCGTTCAGAATAAGTAGCGACTCCATTGCTGAGTGGTATCTTCATCGTCATTAAGTTGTGCTGTTACGTCCCCGGCTGGCAGAGGGCGCTGAGCAGGTTCTGATCTCCGACTTTTCGCAGTCTGCCTCAGTCCCCTAACAGCCTGCGCGTTCCTTGGTAACACGAACGAGGAAAGAGCCGGTATAATTTTTGATGGCGTCAATACCATGGATAGCAGATGGCGAACTTTACGGAGTCTTTGCCATGGTCTCCAACCCTCCTCCTTTCTCAGGCGGGCTTGGGACGCGGCAACGACGGAGTTATGTTCGCTTGTTCCTTGATAGTAAAGTTAGTTTTGCCGCATTTAATTTCTTTGTTGTAACTGCTCACGTTTATTCTAATCAGTAATTTAGAATATTGACACGAACTGGTGAGCAGTATGTAGAGAAACGAGATCATTTGTTAGGACGTACAGTCGTTTCTGCACTTCCTGTCAAGACAAGTGGTTTTGTTGTCGACCCCAAACCAGACAAGGAAATATCTGAAATCGTTACCCAATTCTATTTAGGTAGGTACTTGTCAAATCGACTGTTCGTTTAAAACAAAAAGGTTCTTGTAAAAATTCATTTCGTCAGAAATTTATAATTTTATTTAGGTGGTAGTCAAGTTTTCCTTTGAGTAAGCGGTTTCAGTCCCAGAAAGAAATGTAAAGAAGCTGAACAGGATGATATCCCAATTAAACTATATTTCGCAGCGTATGGGACCGCCCTCTTCTCCTGCCTATGCAGATTACATCTCGATGCTGTATGCAAAACCATCATTCTGAATTCATCCCACATTATTTTATGCTGGATATAGCAATGGCTTTCAAGCCCAGGGTCGCGATGATGTTTTCAAGGGACAGCAATTCCATAAAATAAAATATATTTCAGGTAATTAAACATTTATCCTAATTTATTCTGTTGTAGCTGATCAGTGAAGTTAATCTAAAAACGCAAAGCAGATGGAAGTAATGGGTAATTGGCAAAGCATACACTGTTCCTTGAAATGACAAACTTAGAGAAAAGACTTTTTTATAGTCGCGGTCAACATAGTCTGGAAACTACAAATTGGAGCAATACCTTGCTCGATATAATATTTCATTACGCCTTATGTGCTTTCATAAATGCTATCAATGCGTGTTGTTTGTTCTTATCAGTCAGACTCAGCTTCATTACGCTATTACGCTCAGTGTTCCTCGATGCCTAGAAGACTGTCTTAAGTGATCCTAACTTCATAACGTTTTAGCACTTCTAGTACATAACTGCGAAGTAGCAGCAGTTTGTTGTTGTGGGTGCACTAGCGGATATGTTTTGCGTGTGAGACGGTGCTGGGTAAAATTCTAAGGAATGGCGTATGTTGGTAGTTTTTGTAAGGAGCTATGGAAATCAACTTTCGTTTATGATCCTAATTTTCTGTTCGATAATGTAGTTCAAAAAAAATATGGACATGCTCTTAATGATAGGAGATGAAGGAAGAGAAAGTTAAAAGCCTGGAAAAATATTTATTTTTTATTGCTTTTGGAACCAATGAGAGTGTTCCTTCTTCAGCACAATAAATTAATAATGTACAGAGCAGATATCGTAGTCAATGATAATAAAGATCAGCAGGTAAATAATGAAGGTTTTGTAACTAAGAAATGCAAAAAAGGAAGGAAAATATATAAAAATGATGTTCGTGAAGTATAAAAAGGAAGATATAATCGAAAAGAGAAGATATATATGTGGTAGAAATTAAGTTATTGAGGATGGGATTCCAACAATGAGCCATAGTCTTGAAGCTTAATTCCTCGTTTACGCAGAGTGCATCAAACGCATTAATGAAGGCAGATTCGCGTATCATGATACCGGAAATAGTGTTGTCATGGTCTAAGGTCAATATGGTGTAGGTTTCCAAAGCATGCTTCGCACAGAATGATATTCATGTTCACGCTACCAGCTGCCATGTGTTCCTTTAAACAAATTTTAGCACCTGTTTTTATCAGAGTACTGTAAATCATTCGACTAGGTTTACAATCCGTTTGGGAAACTGTTCAGTTTTTAAGCCGGTCGTTTGCTTTACGCGCGTTGTAAAGTGTTCACCATAGAAATATGATGACGCTCAATCCGAATATATAAATTCAAGTTAAAAGGTAAGGATATAGTGTTTGTGTCCCGTTGATATCGAAAGCGAAGATTATAATGAATGGGAAAGTTGATGGTGGAGACAGCTGTGGTGATGACCATTATTTATAAAGATGTACGACTAATTTTTTGGATGTTAGCTCTGCATGCCGATGGATGGTTATAATAAGACGCGCTTTAACTAAAGTTGATGACGGTAATAGTGAATTATGATTGCGTAATTGCAAATCTGTTCTTTGCGGAAGACCTAATGAAGCGGTTGTTTATCAAGTCTTTCTTCAGAGTGGTATCCAGAAAGAAAGGTTTTGCTGTTTGTTCTTCTTCGACTGTGAACTTTATCATCTCTTCGTCAGATCTGTTTGGAAAATCGAGGCAATCAGAAGAATTTTGGCCTGCTTTGAGAAGCACAAAATTGTGGACGGTGAACCTGCAGTAGAAAGGTTTCAGATCAAAAGGGCTTATGTGTAAAGCGGACGAATCAAAGCAATGCTGATAGGACATACTCTGTGCAAACGTGCGTTAAAGCTGGGCTGTTTATCAAATGGGTTTTAAAAGATGTCGAAAAATATACACGTAGGTGTGACCGAAAATCCTGCTAAAATTAGTCTTAAAGGACATATGGCAGCTTTCGACAATGAACATAAAAAGATTCCGCTGCTGTTGAGCATGCCATTGACAACGTACGGTGTATTGCTAGGAACGAGGTGGTTTTAGACGATTATAACATTACTGTCGGTCTCATGAT